TATTCTTGTGAGAGCTTCGAAGCACTGGTCCCAGCTCTTCACCCAAATCACTTTTAGCCCCACTCAAATCAGACATTTTTTTCTTTATCAAGCTCTTTGTGATCTACTATGTGATTTTCACAAAATCGACTACCAAGCTTGGGTGTCACGATACATCCACTTCTTATTTGACCAGGGAGGGAATCGTACTGTATAAATCCACTGTCCTTGGCCATGCAACATTCGCGATTGTTATCAAAATTGCCATCCAGAACCAGATTTCTCTTACACCCATTTGTGTCACACTGATGATCTAATACAAAAGAGTGACACACATATCAATGAAATATCTTTGTGACAGTATTGAACTTTGTTACATAGATTGCTTTCCATGACAACAGAAACATTGTCCATTGATGTGACATTAATGATTTGCCAGTGAAAAACCACACCTTCTTCATTTCGGTTTTTCCAGAAATGCAAAATAATACAGGTCCTGAGTATAATTTCAAAAGCAAATTTAACGACAACAAATTGTTACCAACATTGAAATGCCTGACTCACTTCCCTCAACTAGACATTAAGATATAAATACCCCTATCTTTGATCAGACACTCAATTCATTACTCCTACAAAAAACAATAAATGATGGTTTACTTACAAATCCATTTCTTAATGAATTTGTCATGGTATAAAGGGCAGACCAGTGATACCAGAGTATCTAATTCCACAGGTACAGGCAACTCATGCAGCTGCATTAGATGGTATTCTTGCACCCTCTTAAGGCACCAATAGAGAAGAAATGCTTCTTCTAATCTTCTACGGTCCATTTTCAATCGTACATGAAGTTCCTCTTCCAAAGAGCTGTTTTGGGTTTAAATAACCAACATTTATGTGAAACAAGAATCAAATAAAAAAACAACAACAGCAACTTTTTGTGCTATTTGAAAGGGAGATGTAACAATTAACATTAATTACTAGGAAATTTCCATCACTGAGAAGAAAAATGATTTCAAATACTGCACCTATCAAGAGATGGCCCCAGGATGAGGAGGTGGGAGGCAACCCACGGGAATAAAACTTAGTGAAACGCATGTAGCTAAGGAATTTGACATCCTGAACATCTCCAGGTGGGAAATTTGGCACAGCTGCCAGCTTGGACATAAGTGCAGGACTAGGGAATGAGTGATAAGAGGTCTGCCATGTTAGAAAATATCCAGTAGTCATTTGGATGACTTTCCCACATCTGTATGTGTTCTCTTCTTTGTCAAGGATGGCAGAACAAAAGTTAGGAGTATATTGTTGCTTTTTAACTTTTTTTAGTTTTATCCCTGCTCTGCTGCAACTTTTGAAATGACAAAAAGATCGAAAAATCATACTCGATCACAGTTAATTAATATCTGCACACACTCAGTGCTGCAATGAACACCGTTGTCAATGCCTATCAGTCACCCAGGGGTAAATAGACACCAAAGGGCGATCCTACACCTGTTTGAAAGATTGTTTTCAATTACGTGTAAAAACAATAGGGATTGGCATATAACGAATGTTCATATCCCTGAAAATAGTGGAAGTGCAGATTAAAGGGGACCAGTGAAATAAGAGCTTTGGAAGAGTGAAGGTCTACAGAGACCCGAGGGTGGGAAAATGGACATTTTAAAACCTGAAAACGTCAGATTTCCCCTGGAAAACCATTGATGGGGATAGGTGCATTTAAACGCTTGGAATTCAAAACTAGGAGGTTATAATACGCCCAAATTTGAATCTAAGAAAAGTGAAACAGTTGTAAAGCATGAACCCACCAATAATAAAATAAATTACCTTCTCTCTTTTCCTTTTTTTTTCCCATGTTCTTTACTGTTGTCGTCATGATCACATACACATCCATGTACCTCATTGTAGATGTCCGCTTTCTCCTTGAAACTTAGCTTCCCTATCAAAATTTCAACCTCGAATTTGAGCAGCAGATTCATATGAAAAGCCGTTTTCCCCGTCGACAAGAAATACTCTTGTTTTTCCCAATCATCATCGTAAAACTTGTTGTCTTGAAACGTGTAATATCCATAGTGTTGGATCAATTTGCAAGATTTATTACAACACACTTTCGGCACACGACAGCCCATGAAAGTACCACGACCTTCGTGGTAAACAACAACATTCACGGCTTTCGCAAATTTCACAGCCAACACCTTCCCACACAAACGACACGACTCTTTCTCTGATATCAAAACGACTCCAAGTCCATACTTCCCTTCTTTTAATGATGACCCGTGCAGTTCCGTCCACAACGTTTCCTCGTTCTTCACACCGTAAAATGACAGGAGATTACCTGTCATAGCAGTCAACTGCTCACTCGTCATATCCTTCTCCAAGCCCTCTTGATTGCCATTTGTAGCAAACTGATACAAACGGTTTGCAAATTCTGGTAACGTTCGTGGAATGTTCTTTACAAAATACAACGCCCTCCAAATTACTGACAAATCGTTCACGCCTTGCAGCAACCGACCCAGCATTTTCATCTCAGATTCACTATCCAGATCGACGAAGGAACTCGCACCTCCAATTTCCGTTACCATGGAAACCGTCACATTCGTTTAACCTCCAGTTGTTGCACGTGTTCAAACACAATTCGCCTTGACAAGGAATTGTAATTTTGACATGGACAACCCTAAATTTTTGACTCTAACTCTCGGGAAACCGCTTCGCACACAACTGGTAAAAAACAAGCCAACGTTCCAAGAAGTAGCAAAGAATGAATTTCAAAGCATCCAGCAAACATGCAAGCATGTCAGAAGTATGGTTTACCGTACTTTAGATGAGGAATGTCAAGATGGTTCTAGTAACGTCACTTTTCACAGCCTTTCTTATGTTAAAAAGAGAACTGGAACATTTTACTACACTGCCAGAGTACTAGTAGTAGTTCCGCCTACTGAATTTCTGGGAGACAAAGAAGAACTTCAAATAACGGATTGGCTTCGAAAAGACAAAGGAAACTTCCTTCGCCAAAAATATCATCCTTCCGTGAAGCACATCCCCGACGAAGAAACAAAAGAAATAGGAGGATGTATGATAATATTTCAACAACAGACTGCCACTGATGAGGAGGAAATTTTAAAGGAAATAGCGGGGATGGAGTACGAAGAAGAGCTGCCAAATTTCGACTTGAAATTGGACTTAACATTCGATCAGAGAGAATGAATTGCAACACCCATGACGAGGACCCAGGACTATGGACATTCCTTTCATTTGGACACCTACTTTACTTGGAATTGTTTGATACTGAGCGGTGACATGAGTAAGGAAATTATTTCAGAAAAAAAACAAAAACAACAAAAGTGTATACTCTAAGTATACCCTTTAAATTATACTTAGGGTGTACTGTACGATTTCTTCCCGTAATGATTTGTCGGGACAACTTCGTTCGGTCCGTAAATATCCTCGTTACTTCCCTTATTTAATGAGTGGACATACGCCGACTGTGTGAAATGAGGGACATTCCCAATTGTTGTATTGTTCTCAAATGACTTAGTTATAAAATAAATAGAGATATTTTTCAAAACCAAATTGTATTGAGTTTTCCTTATTTTCGGACTATACAGTAATTCTCTGCAAAGCGCTTGTTTCAATCACCTTTAATTGTTGTCACCTTTGTGAAAATAATGAACTCATAGCCGAACGTAACTTCGAGTTCTTACAATTGTGAAAGAACTTTCAGAAGTCAAACCCATGAAACTTACTACTTCCTCGTAAAAGTAACAAAAAAAACGCCCTAAATAACCAGGGTCCTTGGACCACTTTTATTCATTCATCAATATTATCAGTATGCGTAAATAGTCTAGCTCCAAAAACATTTGCTACAACAAAATGATAACATGCAAATGTGCAGAATATTTCATTCTTCCTAGTCCTTAGTCATACTTTCTGGCAAGTTTAAAAATTCAAGGTTTAAGTTTAATGATAGAAATTCAGGGCTCGGGACGATTGTATCTAATCAAGCACTTAATCTTCTTCAGCATCATATAATCTTACAAAAATTTCATACACTTCAGTACCCCACATAAAACAAAGAAAAAATCATTTAAATCACACCTTAGCGGTAACGCGTTCTATTTAATTTCAAACAATACCTGCGTGTAAACAAGCATATAAGAATACAACCATATTGGGACAGCGCATTTAACCTTTTGGCTGCGTACCGTGGTGGAAGGAATTGGCTCTGACGATGGCGACCAACAATGCATATGTCAACGGAATTTTGAATGTTAGAGAACAACTTCAAAAATGCTGGGTGGCAGATTTGGATTGGAGTCTCTTACCCGAAAACGTAGGAAAGGTAAGGAATGCAACAACACATGCAGTAACATTTAGAAATTTGCCTTGCCATGACAAATAATTGAAAGTGACTTTCCAATAGACGACCGCATGGTCAGACCTTCCGAGACCAGATCACGTAATTTCAACAGTTACTTATTTCGATCAACGGTAAGCTCGTTTTAAGATAACAAAGAAGATTCATAGTACTTGACCAACAATCGAAAGGGATAATACCAACAATAAATGTCCATGACAGATGTATTTCGAGAATTTCGGAAAGTCAGATGCGTTATCTTTCAACAAGTTTTCCCTTCACCGCACGACTACTTGCTTCAGAGTGAACCCGGCTCTAAAAAGCCATTTGATGTCCAGTTCTTAAAAAAAACTTTCTCAACATTGCAGGGGTGTCTTGCTGTTGCAAAACTATTGTGTGTACCACCCTTGGCCGTTTTATCAGGCATCCTATCACTTCTCTCATTTGCCATGGCACACGCCGAGGTACATGTTCCAAATACCAAGTGGACCGAACCAGGCATACTTTGGCTGGCAATCGGCATGCCTACAGGTACGTAACTGTAGTATAAATTCTACTTCTATCCTTTTTCTATCCAGTTGTTAGAAGCCCGATTTTAGATGGGGAAGTTTAACCCAGGATTACACTAAATTTAAGGTTTTCTTGCCTGAGATAATGCAACTCGAGGCTACAAAATACTGTTGGGCCGGCCTTTACTACCACATAAAGTAATGATAACCCAAAATTTTACCCTCAGTTATGGATATGAATGTGCATTAGGAACACGCAATACAATTTTAATCCTGGATTAATCGGCCTTTCAGAACCGGACCCCGGAGTTACATATAACCCGCGTTTCCTTGTCTTCTGTTCAAAAGCATTTTGTCGAATAATTTACCTTGTTATTTTTGTATCTTGCAATAAACAACTTGAACTCCAAAACATTTACAACTGAAATGGTTTTCAACTTAAAAGCTTCAATATCTCAATTCAAATCTCGTGTCCTTGGGTTGTCTCACCAAAAAAAAAAGGCACTTTCCGAAAGTCAGAACTTACCGACCGGACCGGGACCCTGGCCGAACCGCTCAATTTGAAAATGAAATACGCTTTTTCCAAGAGTATTTAATGAGAAACGATTTCCATTTTGTATACTATTTTGGTTATGACTGATCTGGCTGGACAGCTTTGATTAATAATGGTAATTGAACTAAGCGGAGTCCAATTTGGTCTGAAATCATACGCGTGATTCACAAGTAGACCAAAATTGCACGACACGAAGTTCAATTACCACTTTATTACATCCATTTTAAAATCGCAGAATTTAGTCAGTACTAATATTTTATTGATCGAGTAGCCGGTTTGTTAAAAAGCCGAAACAAAAAGGCTTTACATCTCATTTTGTATTCGAAACAGAAATGATGCGATATATAGAGCAAAAATAGTGCGATTTAAAACAGAAATGATGCGATTTATATAACATGAATGACGCGATTTGGAACAGATACGATTTAGAGCAAAAAATGGTGCGATTTAGGAATAAATCACACTGCTGAGAGCCAATCAGACTGCACGGATAGCCAGTGATTTCAAAGTGGATGTAATAAAAAAGTCAACTTTCATTACAACGGAAATGGCCTTGCTGGTCATGAAAACCAGGTTTGATAACTCGGCCCAGATTCCTTAGTTGTCAAGGTAACCTACCGGGTCAGATCAAAGGACATCATCAACCGTCCATTTTAATGCGATGCAAAAAAAAAAAAACACACGGTAAAGTGACCGACTGACAGTAACTTCCTTTATAAGGAACCAGCCCAAAAAGGTAACCATTTATCAGGCATTTATCTTTAATCGATTGATAGGCAAATTAAGCAACAACGCCGGTAACAGCTAAGAAACGTCCCTCAAAACTAATTTGGGCTCACTCAAACTTTATCGCGCTTCCCATTTGATTCGTCAAATTGCCACTTTCTGGTTTGCAATTATAAGTCACTGTATCAAGTTCAAGAAAAAAAAAAAAGGTTCTCTTCCTGTGTTACTATGATAAGAAAAAATGAAATTACACACTTTGATGTCTTCGCCGAGCAACAACGTTAAGCAATGTGCAAACAAGCGTGCTGTGCGTGCAAATTTCTATTTGACCGATCTAATCCTACTGTTTTTTCCGCTCTTTGCTGCTAGGAAATATATACCTAGATTGCACACAAATAGCAAGCTAAGTCCTTTTAACTAGTCTGTACTTCATTCATCAAATGGTCGATTTGTTAAGAAGACATATATAGTGTCCATACTGATAGTGAATGGAACATAATCACACATCGGGGAACTAATCAAAAGGCAGGGATCTCCAGTGACTACACGTGAATATAATAAAACCAAATGCCTTGATAGTTATAGTTTTGCAGAGATAGGAAGGGGACTTACAAGCCTCAAAATAAGCTCTGACTTGCTGAAAGGATATACCTTTCTATTACTCTTTGTTTCATCTACAATTCCAATGATCAGCGGAGATTTTTCAACACAATGGCATGCAATTACTGTGGGAATGGGGAGGGAACATGAGAGAAAAAAGAATATTTTGAGCTATAATTTTTTTTTTGATGGAAGTCTTTCTTAAAGAAGTTGTAGCACTCTTAGCTCAACCTTTCAAGCTAAGATGAAACTGTATGTAAATTTTATACCCAAACAGAAATATAATTTTCTTAATCCTTTTTTGTTTTAAATTGTGTACAAAAATTTTGCTTCAACTATTCTGTATATTTATCAATTATTAACAGACGGGAAGTTAATATTTCAAAAGTAGGTTGAGTTTGATCATCCGGGTGAACATAGTCCTACAACAGTCCTTTTCAGGACTCATCACCCGGACAATCTAACTCGACCTACTTTTGAAATGACTCGTGGGTGCAAACCTTTCACAGAAGTTAATATTGTTGAACAATCCCAAGATGAAGTCAATCAATCTTACAATTTTTTACTATATAAATTCCTAAATATTGGTTTTTTGAAAACCCTTTTTTTATCCACAACATTTATCCAAACCGAATACCTCTACATTGCCTGAGGTTCAGTCCCATATAGAAGGATCTAAATACCTATACGCTAGCAAGCAATAGGGAATACTTCTTTTGCTGAAGCAGACAAAAAAAAAGGACCTTTCACGAAACCAAAACCTTTTGATCATACCAGGCTTGTAACATGTTATTTAAATTTGAAATGTTTTTGTTATCTTTTGGGAATGCTTGGTAACTATCATTGACCTTTCATTCAATAATACAGAGCTTGTATTAATAATATTTTTTTCTAGTTGAGGGTAATTACTCACATACACTAGGTTTTAGTTAGCAAACTGGAACGATATTAGACATTGAACAAATACATTTGGTGAACTGATTAATACCATTTCCACATTACACCAAATTGTGTTGATTCAATAAGCATTTTGTGTCACAGAGACACCTTCTCTGACTATAAGTAGCTAAGAGTTGTAAAATAAATTTATTATTGCATCCTCCCTAAGTGATGATGATCACAACAACAACTGGAAATTTATACTGCGTATGTTCTACATAAATTTGACAATCCTGATTATGTTATTTTTCAGGCACTGGAAAGTCCACAATTTATCGCTACTTAATTAACCTTTTACAAAAAGTGAGAACAAGACTTGAGACTGAAGAAGACGCCATTGTAGTGAAAAATTGGTTACTTAGTGACCAAACATTTGAAAAGTTGGGAGAACTGATGAGTCAGAATGACTGTAAAGCTTTTGGCTTATATGATGAACTCACTAACTGGCTTTCTCAAGTGAACCTGTACAGTGGCAATAAAGGGTTGTTGGACACCCATGAATTTACCAAAGTCTTGGAGCTGTTCAGTGGTGGGGAATGGACGAGGCAAACAGGTTCGTGTAGATGACTCATATTGTTTTCATTCAAAATTATTTTATACAAATAACTTGTCTAGTATATAGTCACATCTACCAAAACCAAAACAAATACCATTTTATTTCAATCTAAGTATCAAATCATCTTCTCTTCAACACTAGACACCCATATATAGAGGTAAACATGATATTTTTGAGGAACACATTCACAGTCGTAATTTGGCTATCATTTTGTCATTTCAAGTGTGTACAAAGACCCTGTCCAAACCCAAATTAGTCTATACTATTACTTTCAAAGACAAACCCAGAGTCATCTAAATACCTTAGAAACAAATCTCAACCCATAAAGCTGTCAAAAGTGCTTTCATCATTTACTTGCTTCATGCATACCAGTCCCATCAAGAATTGACACATGCATACACTGACCTTATTAGAATATTATTAATATATATTTGGTGCTTCCAGTTGCAGGGAATGCCAACTTTAAGATGCCACGAACATGTTTGACACTGTGTGGCATGACGCAGCCAGCAACAGCTCTACCCTTAATTGTGGACAAAGCTAATGTTGATAAAGGCCTCGCGTCTCGTTTCCTATGGGTTTTTCCTAAACCAGTTTTTGAAGACTTCAAATCAATTGAGCTCGATGCCAATGAAGAATGCACCCAATCTGCTGCAGAATTTTCCACACTCATTGGTAAGGCATAATAATTACTTCCTACCGTAGCCCTAAAACTACTAAATAATATTTCAATGAATTTTTGATGTAGGTGTGGATTTGAAAATAGATTAGACATATCTAATTCATTAATAATTCTAGTAGCAACAGAAGGTGGAACATTACCGAAGAATATTTCCCATCTTATCAAGTGTTTGACACTTGCTTTGATTTATATAGGGTCACTAATTTACATAGCAATATCTCGAAGAATACAAGAATTACTTTGAATCAGGGAAGGTTTGAGTTAGTGGGCTAAACTGTTGACAATGTATTACTTTGTAGAAAACCTGTTGGTCATGATAATGAGATCAAAGGAGAATACAGAGGACAGGACAGAAGCAGCCCAATTTGAACTAGAAATAACTGACCAGAGGATATTTCCTAAAGCCTATGACGAATGCCAAGCTATTTTGAAGAAATACTGCTTGGAAGATCCTTTTTTGTGTGGTAAGAACAATTCATTATATTTCTAGCCATGTATATTTCTTGTTTATAATGCTATCAACATTTAAAGCACCCAATCTAATTAAAAATTCTTAAGGGAATTTATACTTATTTTTATAAAGTGAAAAAATAAGTATTTCTGCTAATAAGTTAAAATAAAAGGAACAAAAATCACTTAAGTCACAGGAATGTAAATAGTACCAAGGTTACAGTTAAGTGACAAGCTGCAGAGAAATATCACTATCTGACAATTTCAACATTCATGAAATAATAACCACCTGAAAAGATATATCACAACAACTTCATGCGGGTAAACAAGAGTAACAATATTGTTCTCTTTCTTGTTATTGTTTGTTTAGCTCTATATTCAAAAGCAAAGGGACAGTACCTCCGCCTCGCTCTTCCCCTACATGCCCTATTTACACAGCAACCACTGCCAGATGATATACCACGGGTCATTCCAGAGAAAGTCCAAATGGCAGCCATAAACATGGTCAAGCTTTGTATCCAGCACACTGGCTTGCTTGCAGGTCGTAATGTTCACTCAGACCAAGGAATTGTTGAGGAATCCATGCTTACAATAGGCCTTGAAGTAACACCACCTCAAACTGATGATGAGAAGTTGCAGCAGCAAGTCATAATGTTCCCTGGACAAGTCATCAGCGGCTCTAGAATGACCTTACTTAACAAGTTTCGGCTGGGTGGAGGAAAGGCAAAGGTCATGATGATATTTAACACCCTAAAACAAAAGGGGCTTGGCTCCGTAACACATGGAAAGAACCGAGTAAGTATTTATCTTTACCAATGTCCAAATTTTCCATATCATCCATCTAGTTACTCATCCTTATTGCACTTGATTCAGGATAAAAAGGCCACCCCCCAAGTTCCAAAAACCGACACCTTCAAAATGAGGCCCACTGCACAACCTTTCTTGTGCAAATGAGTTTTATTTGCATGAGCATGAAAAATCATTTCCATATCAAAGGCTGAGCACTTAACCTTGTTTTGATACAGAGGCCCGAGCAAACTCAGAAAATGCTTATTAAATCAATATTTTACTAAATAGTGAAACCCAACAATACAGGCACTTATAATTTCTTACATAACTGTGCCATGTTTCTCAAAGCACGGTTTAAAGATAAACCCAGAATTTGGACTGCCATTTGGTGATTAAATGCTCAAAAAAGATAGGGACAATTATGCAATAAAATGCCTTGAAAACAAAACAAAAAATTAACCCCAAAAATTTAATCACATTTTAGCATTAAACAGCCTTCAAACAACTGAGGCCAAATAAAAAATGCTGAATGATTTATGTTTTTAGACTATTAAACTCATTAAGTGAACGATGGAAATATCACAAAACATTATCAACTATTTTTCTACCATTAACCACAACTGTAAAAAAACAGTGAATGAAAATATTCCAATAAACTTCGTATCCAAATCTAGCCCTATTTTAAGAATTGTAAGTAAACTCCCAATGACAGTGTTTTCAGTCTTTTTCAAATCACACTAATTAAATGATTGTTCTTTATTTCCAACATCATTTCCTGCAGACTGTATTTTTTGAGAAGATCGATGCAAGTCAGTTAACAGACCAGTTAGCCAAGTTTGTAAGTCAATTACAACGCATTGGTGTAACCCTGCAGGCGTACAATGGCGCGTACAATAACACCGGCCATCCATCTGCAGCTGATGCCCAGGCACAATTTGTGCAGAACTGTGGACCACCCCCAAGCAAAAAAAAGAAGACTGCTGATGGACATCAAGGTGAGGAGACAGCATCAACATCAACAAGTGAACAATGAACATTACTGAATGATAGTCAATATCCTCAATTCGAACATAACATGTAACACATATCCAAGTCTCTAAACAAGTAATACTCGTTTTTTTCCCAAAATTATTTAACGAATCTTTTTTGTAATTGTATGTATAGAATGTTTTAACCCTTTCACTGCCAAGTTTAGCCAAAAGCAAATTTCGACCAAATTTCCAAATTATATTTTGTGAAATTTTGAAACACAAATAGCACCATGTGTAAGTACAGGCAGAGACGTTTCATGAATGGTCACATCACAGGATTTCGTCCACAGACTCAAAAGTTAGAGTCACATTACAAAACTCCGTCAGGTACTCTGGCAGTGAACGGGTTAAACAAAGTATTAACATTACCAATTGAATGGAATTTAGTATAATTTGGAATGAAGCAACCCTTAAGGTCCCAAATATTACAAATCACAAATATTTCCTTCCTGGTCACAAACTATTTCCTGCCAACAACAACAGCATATCATTAATAGTAAGATTATCGGAGTTACTAAATTGATTACCAAAGGGTTATGCTTTGATCTTAAGCTAAGTTCAACTATTCTTAAAGAGATGTATGAAAATCAGTGTGGAAGATAAGCCATACCTTTCTAAGGGATTAATTTGTACGTACACAACAATTTATTCGATTATCGTGGATCTTTTCTTCTCCCAGAACAAATAAGAAGTCATGCAACTAAATTTAGCCATTTTAAGATATATCCCAGTTAAGCATGGAATATTTTACCTTATGCATATTTCAAACTAATCATGCCTGTAATTAATGTGATCAAACACTCTTGTTATACATTCATACAGGCCTAACATTCATAGTTCCTGTTAGAAAATGCGTAAACACAAAATTTCCCACCTTATATTTTAAATTGAGTCGGTAATTAGTAATAAAGAATTACCATAAAATTCAAATACTTGGTCATTGCTTTATCACAAATCTCCATGGGTAAATTTTATTGAACCGGGGTAACTAAGGGTACTCGCCACTGCTGTTAGATATACCGTGACAACCCCAATAAAGACCTTACTATCGGTGTTTGAAACGAAACCCTGACACTAATCCACCGTTCCCCTCCCTCCGTTCCCTTTGAATTTGCGATTTTTGCGATATTTGTCACGGGTGTTTTAAGCCATCTAGAAAAATCCTTGTTATATTTCCGATATTTGCGGACATTTCGGGGCCCCTCTTGGCTTCTTTTCTTTCTAAGTCAGGAATT